CTTCCATTCTTCTTCTGTTCCGCCATGTACAAATATGTTTCTCCCTAGATCTGCCCTTTTAATAAAAGGCACTAGGACCTACCTCCAACTCTTGCCAAAAATCTGAGTCGTCCTCAATTTTCTTTCCCACAGTTCCTTGTCCAAACATCACAAATACATCTGCTTCTGTCCGTTTTCACTATGGCATTCTGGTTGAAAGTATTAATATGTCATGCCTAGTCTGTAACAACAACCTTCTAACTTCTTTGCCCACTTATCTAGAGCCACTCCAACCCTACTCCCCCATCTATTCTCCACTTAACAGCCAGAATAAATGTCATAAAAAAGTTAATTAAATCATGTCACTCTAGCTTAAAGTCTTCGATAACTCAGAGTGGGAATGTGGTATACTTGTATGATGGCTACTGTCATCATTATGAGAATGTTTCTCCCCCTTTCTGTTTTAGTTATCTAGTTTCCTTTCTTTAACTCTCTAATAGCAAAACCATTATTAAAATAAATCGATCACCTATTTCAAGCATATAGTAACTGTTAGATTTTTTGCAAATGTAGTCAGCATCAATGTGCCTTGTTTCTGTTATAAACATGTGACCCCAAGTTAATACCTTGTTTGAAATGAATGGGAGTAAAACATTGTTTCTGTCACTTATATTTTTTTGACCCCTCAATTCCCAGTAATAAGTAAGATAATACTTAGAAAAGACAAACTTCGACTTTTTTTCTTAGCAGATGACAGCTAATATTCATACATATATACCCCATTTGTTTCAAGGATATAAATCAGTGATATTTTTAAGTAAAAAATAGAATTAAAAGAGAATGCTCTGATATTTGACATTTGGAAAAACTCAAATCTCATGACCAAGATTTCTATAATGGCAGTGATTATGGAGAAAAACATAGCATAGGACAATAAGATCTGAGGAATGCGCTAAATTTAATTCTAAAAGTGAAAGACACTTCAGAAAAATTTGCAGAGATCCTTTCTACTGGAAAAAAAAAATTTACTCCAAGGAAGGTAGGGTGAACTTGGCCAAGCTTAGTGGTTACAAACTTTGGTGGTGTGGTTGATTCTAATTTCTAAATGTCATAATTCTGAAAAGATAATATCTTTATATGATGGAGTTCATCACTAAAAACAGAAGACACAGATTTCAAGTTCAGATATTTCTAATGAATACATAGATACATTGTATATGTAAGAATATCTTATATATTATTATAGTATTATATAAATATCAGGGTTTTATTTTGATAGTATCTGCCATAAAACATTCCTTATATCCTAAGTGTATGAGAATAAGAGAAACCCTCTTAGGTTAGCTATGAAATTGTGAAAGACATGGAACTAGTAAATAAGGAGTGTTAAACAGCATCAGTCCTATCGATAATCAAGTAGGGGCTGGGCTCTGGTCTTGTCGCCTCTTCTTTAAAATAAAGGGAATGATTTTACTCAGGCCTCCTCCAATGGATCCATTCTACGAGTCGAGTCTTTTTGGTGAAATGATTCACTATTTCAGTATATTGAAGGATTCATTAAGGGTGTCTGTGGGGAATCTGAAGGCTTACTGTACTAAAACAGAAGTATTCCTAAGTGACTTGGGACAGTAGTCTTTGGACTCTGTACCTCAAGGGAACATGACCAATCATCAATTTATACTTATTAAACATTCTGTATATCACTCGCTCTGTGGTTTTCATTTCAGGCAACTGTAACTTTAGGCAGAGAGTGGGTTCATGTTTAGTACATTATTTTGGACGCTTTGTTTTCCATATTTTAATGGCTATTTTTATAATGTAGAAAACATTCTAATTGCCTCATGTAAAAGTCATTCTAAAAAAATTAATATTTCCAAAGTCATTAAGATAATGAAAGTAAGTGGGAAAGTAATTACTTATATCTTATTGCTAGGAGGCATTAAAATGAAGGCATGAGAAAGGTGCTGTAGAAGTCTAGAAATTCAATCTTTTATGTTTAAACTATGTCATTCTATTTTGCAAATACCTCCTATAAGCAGAACCCTGAACTTAGTGCTAAATGTGAAACAGTAGTTAAGAAATGATTTGTTAACAGATCTCAGGGTCTTATTTTACTCTTACATGTGAAATCTATTTACTCATTTGCGCATGTGGAATTTTTCATCTCCACAGCATTTTTTTTTGTTTTTGTTTGTTTGTTTTTGTTTTCTTTTGTATTCTGTTTTTGTTATTGTTGCACTGAATTTTTTATATAAATTTTATTAAATTTATCAAGGTGACATTGGTTAGTCAAATTATATGGGTTTCAAGTGTATAATTCTGTAATACATCATTTATATATTGCATTGTGTGTTTACCACCCAGAATCAGTTTTCCTTCCATCACCATAAATTTGATCCCTTTTACCCTCTTCTACCTACTACTTACCTTCTAATAACTACTAAACCGTTGTATGTGTCTATGAGTTTTTGTTTGTCTGTCTTGTTCCTTTGTTGCATTCGGTTTTCTAATCCACATAAGAGTGAAATCATATAGTTCTCAACTTTTTCTGTCTGACTTACTTCACTTAGCAGGATAATCTCAAGATCTATCTAGGTTGTAGCAAATGGTAGTATTTCATCTTTTCTTATGGCCAAGTAATATTCCATTGTGTGTATATATATATCACATCATCTTTATCCAATAATATATTGAAGACCACTTTGGTTATTTCCATTATTTGGCCACTATGAATAATGCTGCAATGAACATAGAGGTGCATATATCTTTACAGATATATGTTTTCAGATTTTTGGGGGTAGATACCCAGAAGAGGGGTTGCTGGGTCATATGGTAATTCTATTCATAATTTTTTGTGGAACCTCCAGGCTGTTTTCCATAGTGGATGCACCAATCTACTTTCCCACCAGCAGTGTATGAGGGTTTCTTTTACTCCACATCCTCTCTAACACTTGTTATTACTTGTCTTGTTGATAATGGCCATTTTAACAGGTGTGAGGTGATATGATATCTCATTGCAGTTTTGATTTGAATTTTCTAACAAGTTAGTGCAGTTGAGCATTTTTTCATACATCTGTTGACCTTTTGTATGTCTTCTTGGGAAAAAAAAAAAAAAAAAAAAAGAACCAAAAAGCCCAAGTAACCCTAAGGGGAAAAAATAAACAACAACCAAGACTGGAGGTATCACACTCCCTGACTTCAATTAATACTACAAAGTGACAATAATCAAAACAGCATGGTACTGGCATAAAAACAGACATACAGACCCATAGAATAGAGTTGATAACCCAGAAATAAACCCACATGTATATGGGCAGCTAATTTTCATCAAAGGAGCCAAACACATATAATGAAGAAAAGAAAGCCTCTTCAATAAATGGTGCTGGGAAAATTGGAAAGCCATGTGCAAAAGAATGAAACTGCACTTCTGTCACCATATACCAAAATTAACTCAAAATGTATTAAATACCTAAATATAAGACCTGAAACACTAAATTGCATAGAAGAAAGCATAGGCACTAAACTTATAGATCTTGGGTTGAGAGGGGATTTTATGACTTTTACCTCAAAGGCAAGGAAAGTAAAAGCAAATATAAATGAATGGGGCTATCTTAAACCAAAAGCCTCCTGTACAGCAAAGAAATCATCAACATAACAGAAAGGCAACCAACTGATGGGAGACAATATTTGCAAACAACACCTTCAATAAGAGGCTAACATTCAAAACATATAAAGAACTCATACAACTCAACAACAACAAAAAATAAGCAATCCAACTTAAAAATGGGCAGAGAACCTGAGTAGACAATTCTCCAAAGAAGAAATTCAACATCATGTTGTTAAGCTTCATACTGAGTCTAGAAGTTGGTACAGATTCAGATTGTACACAAATAAAAGATTCTTTTTAAAACATATTTGTTTTAAAATATTTGCTCCTTTTGAGTTTTGGAAGCTTTATTTTTGCACAAAATTTCCATCTACATGTTAAAGGTATTCAAATGACTAGCTAAATATTTTGCAGGTCAATTATATTTCCAAAGTTAAAGAAAGGATATTCATTGGAAACCAGAAGTGGCTCATAATAGAAATGCATTCTAAAATCTTGCTTATATTTGCATTCTTTACCATTTATATAGATGGAAATGTACTATAGTAATACTTTAATGAATCAAGACCACTAGAATTAAGCTTCATAAAGACAGATTTCTTACCTATCTTTTTCAATATTTTGTTCATTGTCCAGTGCCCAATTCAGTTCCTGTATATATCAGAGCCTTAATAAATATGTTTTAAAATAATACCATGGAAAGAGATAAGCTAATGCCTCAAGTCTTAACATCTGGTCATAGAGTGGTCCCTCTAAGTTGAGATCTTAGCCAAGCCATTTCTCTTTCATTGAGTTTCATTTTCTCATCTTTCAAAACACAGGATGTTTTAGATTGATGAGGGTTTTTCTGGTTTTATAAAAGTACTTGGCAATTAAAGTATTACATCTGAATAATCTTGTAATCACTATCTTAAAATAAATGTATTTCCAGAAGTGATATAGTTGCTAAAATTATCAATTAGTTCACCTAGTATATGGACTTAAAATATTCAGTATACGAATTTTCTGCTATTACAATGAAACGTTATTGTGCAATTTTCACCCACAGAAAGTTTGCATTAAAAATATAAGAATGTAGTGGTTCAGTCCCTTGGTTTTGTTTAAGTGAAGTATGGAGTAAGAGTTCAGAATGAATTATTTCTTTTATATGCATTGTGGTTCCTGCAGGTCAGGGTTGAGGCTGAGGGCAGAGATGCTGGCGTTCCTAGCACTAAGGGTGGTGTGTGAATAAATAAAAGGGCACGCTACTTCCTGAGTTTAGACAATATTTATATTGAATAAAAATCATGACTCTGAATGTATCCTGTGGAAATCTGAAACAGTTTTGAGTTAAAGAGCATATGAAATTAATAGATTATAAAATGATGTATAAAGTCTGTTTTGTTGATCCTCTTCAATCCCTCGAACTTTTCAGATCTTCAGGAATTTTACTGGGATTACTGTTCAGTTGAAATTCCAAGCATTCTCTTCAAATGGTAAGTAGAACTATTTGTTATATCACCATATTAGCTCATCAGTAAATAACATGAGTTTCTGCGTATTGAAATAAGAAACATGAATTACCGTCCTTCACTCGTATTTTGTATTTTTGTGAAAGCGAAACCACTGAAGAATGTCTTTTTATTTTTAAATTATCATGGTGGAATGTAAATATATGGCATATAAACTTGTAGACTATCAATCTTCTCTAAAGTCCAAAATAATTGTAAAGTGTCTGGAATTTAATTCATCTGCTACTAGCAAACATCTTTTGTAAACCATGTTTTACAAAATCATATTTTGTAAACACTAGGTCCAGAGAGAAGAATTAAAAATCTATTTAGATACAGCATTTCCCCTTTTAGGAATCTGACCTTTAAAAATACCTTCTTACCAGTTCAATTCCCTGCCCAAGCTGAGCTGCCGCTGAGCTGCCTACAGGTGGCAGGATGGCTCAGCTTAAATAAATAAATACAGAAAAATACCATAAGTAGGTTTATATAGGGAAATACACATTTAAAATTATCTTCCCAGATAATTGTATTATTTATTTTCTTATAGTAAAATTATAAGAATGTAACTTATGGACTTCAATAGATACATAATTATCTATATTTTTAAATGATATTAAACTCTACTCATACCCTCTGATACCTTGGTAAACCAGTCTAACCTTACTTACTTTTGGGATCATCTTCACTAAGAGCTATGTCCCCATGTTTTGAGATGGGAGATATGAAGTCATTATTCATGTTGTTTAAAACCACTTGGCAAGAACTGAGCACTATCCCCCTTGAAACTTGCTGCTTAAGTTTGTGACAACCATGGTGTCAGGCAGATGGGCTCTGTCCTTTAACACTGTTAGATGTGAGGGAGATGTCTACAATGACTCAGGTCATGTACTCATGGCCCAAGCAAAGGGCTTTGAAATTGCTTTTATTATCTTGTCTCATTTTACATGATATGTTCACAATGGACAGATATTAAATAAATATAAATACAAATAAAAAACAAAAATAACCATATTCTCACCATCTAAACATAACCAGTTAACCCCATGTATAAACTGGTGAATGTTTTCAGTATATGATCCCACAGCCTACTATAGGGATTCAGAAATGAGAATGATGATGATGTAAAATTTAGGTTCACCCAATCTACCCCAAAATGACTCTGAAGCCTGGGTTTCAATCCTTGCTCCACCACTTGTTCTGTCTGATCTTGAGCAAATCCTGTACTTTCTCTGGGCCTTTCTTAACTCATCTGCAAAATGAAGCTAATAATCCATATTTAGCTAATGGTGTTGTCTTGAGTATTAAATAAGTTACTACAGATAAAGTGTTTAGAACAGTAACTAGCCCATAAATGTTAGATACTATAATATTAACCATTGTATTTTAATTGTATTTTGCAAAGTCAGGAAAATATTAATTTGTGTATTATTTTGTATCCTGACACCATATTTAGCCCTTTATTAGTTGTAATTCTTTTTCAGTCAGTTCTTTTGTGGTTCTAGGTAAAAAATCATGTTATCTGCGAATACTAACGATTTAAAAGAATTTTGTGATTTCCTTTCTAAAATCTCACACACTTTTAAAATTTGAATTCCCCACTCATTTTCTTGGTTATAGCTTTCAGTTCAATCCTATTCTTAATTAACTAAATTAGATTTTTGGATATTTCTGCTGATGTTCTATAACTCTTGAAACATATAAATATATTTTTGAAATCTGTTGAAGAAATCATTTGGTTTTCCTCTGTTGATCAGTTAAGTTGCTAACATTATGTTATCCTTGAATAGCTAGAAACTTATTACTTTATGACATATTATAGTTCAATACTTTTTTATTTACTTGGAAATTTGGAAGAATGCTCCAAAGTTAAGATGGTATATAGTACTTTTTAATTGCTGCCATCTTTTTAGTGTTGTTAAGGAAGTTATAGTCACATTGGAAACTTTACAATATTCTCTGTGGTGGTACATATATATATATTGCTATATGATTATATATTATTTATATGTTATATTATAATTATATAATGTATGTTATAGAGTATATTATATATAATAATATAATTATATATTACATATTGTTGTATATATAATTATGTTATTTGTAATTTTGAAAAAACTCACTAGTAAAATAATAAGCCAACAGAATCTATTTTGGAAGTGGTATTTGCAATTAAAAAAATTGTTTCATTCCATTTTCATTAAATTTTATTGGAATTTTACTTATTGAGTTCATTTTAAATCTGACATTTTCTAAAATATTACCTATTTTATAAGCTTTTCACTTTATTAGCATATATTTATAAGTTGTAGTCTTATGGTTTGCAAAATTATTGCTGAATTAGTTTGATAAACTATCACATCTAATTTTTGTGTTTTTCTGGTTTTCATTATGTATTGTAATGGTTTGCAAGTTGTACTGGTTCATTCAAAAGGCCAAAACTGGAATTAATTACTCTCTTGCTATTTTTTCATTCTTTTAAATTTATTAATTCTGCTGAATACTGACTCTCTCATTCTATTTCTTAAATTCAGAGATTTATTTCTACCAAAATTACTTAATGTGTGTCTTTGGCTGTTTATAATAAGATTTGAGTATGATCAACTTTTTAAATGTTTGGGAATTTTTGAAAACAATATGTAATCCATAACACATACTAAGTTAAATATAGTTTCATCAACTTCACATAAATAATATTCAGGTTTCATGTTCTTATATTCTGTCTCCTGGGTTGAGATGGGGCTAGTTTTTGCAAGTTTTTACAAAGTCCAAGTAATCCATTTGGATTTCTACTCTAAGGGTAAAGCTACCAAATTTAAGCTGGTAAGTTATATAAGTAAATTGTATTTAGGAAGATGAGTCTTTTGCAAATGTGGAAGATCAACTGCAGTAGGCGTAATAATAGTAGGGCCAGAAAGAAGAATTAAGAATCTAGTTAGATCCAGTATTCCCCCTTTTAGGAACCTGACCTTTAAGAATACCCTCCTGTCTTAAAAAAGGTGTTCAGTGTTTTCGTTCTTTCCCAAGGTTGTTTCCATTTTCTTCCACTTTTCCTTCACCTAAGACATTTTCTCCATCAGATTTCCTTCTCAGTACTTTTGGTTCCCTCTGTAATGCTAACCTCATACATGTAAAGTTTAATGACTTTCTTGTCTGGTGTTTATTATTGTTGCCCCTCCTTTTCCTGTTTAACAACTTTGCTATAGCTTTTAAAAGCCAATATAAATTTATTCCAGAATTTTATATTCAGTGTTCATCCAGCCAGCCATCAAACATTTATGGAAAATCAACTGTGCTTTAGGCCATATGCTAAGAAGTAGAAAAAGCTGTCTGTGGAGGAGCACTAGAACCTTTGACCTCTGTGCTAAAGAGATCTTAATCTTCTGCTTGAACTCTCCCAAGGTTTAGTATCTCCTGTTGACATTAGTGTATCATTGATTTGATAACCTGAAGATACCTAAAACTTTAATGAGCTCAGTCTTTATCTATAACCTGTACATCCTATCATTTCCTGTCCTGGTTGATGGTTGATAGTAAACTGTGCTAGAAACCTAATAGGCTCTCAATATGTAATCTTTATTGAATTAACAATTTTAGCTACACTTTTTACTCTGTCCTATTCCAGGCCAACTTTTGTCATATTCCTATTGATCACATACTTATATTTAATCCCAAACTTCTCTTTATCTCTGTATTTGTTACCTTATTTTAGAACCACAAAATCTATCCCTTGATTTTTTTTTATAAGCTTCTAATTATTTTTATAATCCTCCTTCTCGTGTCCATCAACATTGCCCTCAGAGTACTTCCTAAAATTTGTATGTGGTCATGTTAGTCACCCATTCAAAAATGTTGATGACTTTTTATTGCTTGGAGGAAAAGTCCCATTTCTCAAAATGCCATTTGATTTTCTTCACACCTTAGTATCAAGTTTATCTCTTCTCAATTTATTTGCCATTCTCTGTCCCTTCTCCCCTGAATCCAATCACATTTGAATACCATGTATTTTGGCTTCTTTAGACCATTTCTTGACACATGGTGGGTATTCAACCAATGTTGCTGATCAGTTTTTCGAGAAGACTCAGGTTTACAATAAGTAGGAGATTGTGACATCCTGGGTGGGTCAGACTAAGGAGATATTGTTTAGTGCCATAACTTACAGAAGACTGAAGTTTTATAATAGGGGAATAACAGAAAGGGAACCACATATGTGACTTAAAATTGATCTAACCTAAACTATGTTTTTTGGATGTTAAGTTGAGGCTTGAATTATCAGAAATTTACTCAGAATGATAGTTACAGTTGATTAATAATCTGAAAGTGACTGTTTCTGAATCTGTGGAGGCTAAAGTAAACAATGGTTTGCATCCTGAGTATGAATTTAAGAAACATGAACTGTAACTATTATGTAATACAAGTAGATTATTCTTATTTGATTCAAAATGATTATATAATATACCATCAAATAATTCATCTCCAAGGCTATATTATTATGACTTTTTTTTCTGGATATCCATTTCTGTAATTTTTATTATGTATTTGTTATTGTTGTTTTTAAAGTATGTAATTGGACATTTGATTCTTAAAGTAACGGGCAGGTCTGAGATGGTTAGAAATAAAAGAGTCATGAGAGGTATAAAATCTGAGGTGGAGATATTGATATCAGACTAAGTGAACTTAGCAGGCACCTCACACAACTTAGCTCAAATAAAAGTTGTTTCTCCTTGTTTTTATCAGATGAAAAGCAGCCAAGCTAGATTTTCCCTATCATATTTATGTTCAGTTAAATTTTTTTAATCAAATGTTTAGTCTTTGTAATTATCTTTTCTGAATTTTAGCTGCTTGGTCTTAGTCACTTCTTTCCAAGTGTCAAGGTATGTTAGCTCTTAATAGTGTGGTATGTATTATTCCACACACATTGTCAATGACACAGTCTTTGAACAGTTGACAGATTGTTTTGACATTTCAATAATTAAGGAAAC